ATTTACTCGTAATGTAACATTCGCGGCGAGCATGTTACATTACACCACAACTGGTGAGGCGTATCGAATGCTCGTTTTGAACGCTCGGCTCGACTGTGCTCATGTGTGCTCCATTCATTTCATTCAATATGTCGGACGTGGAGGTTGTGTTATCTTTGTTTCATTTAATACGCTACTCTTATCTAAAGAACTCATGAATGCTCGTTATGACGCCGCTCGACTGACTGACTGACTTGTAATGTAACACTCAAAGGGATTCGCGAAAAAACCGACAACACGATGGAGCACCCGCGAGCGTGAGCGGCTCCGTTCGCTGTCTTCACTTGTGTAATGCTTGATTTGTAACACGTTACATTACAGGCAAATGTTACAAGTCAGTCGCCACCTTTAGAGAAACACATGGCTTAGAACATGATGCAGTGGTGGTCTGTAATGTTAATGTTATCGGTGTTCCACCCTGTTTGTGTCCTTTTGCCGATTAATTAATTTCTTTAATTCACTGTAGCATTTCTACATTTTGGGCCACTGGAAGTACAAGCTCATGATATTTTAGTTGGAATGAGAGTAAGGCTCCGTAAATGATTTTTTATTTTATTTTTGCTTGGCGCAAGATGTATTATTCGCAGTTGCAAGCACTGCAGCAGTACCGAATACAGCAGGAGCAGTTGAAGCAAGCGGAGCAACAGGAGACACTGAGGCAGCATCAGGAGAATATTATGCAGACTGGAGCAAACTACAGCAACCCTAACGTAACATTCAGGCAGTTCTTACAGGTAAAATTAACTCTTTGTTAAGTGGGGCTTGACGTTTTCATGGTGGCGAGTTTGAAGATGGCTGTCTTCTGCGTTGTTGCACCATGTAGCCTGGTAGAAGTTTACCAGTGTTTCAGAGGTCCATCGTCAGGGCAATGAGGAAGCCACGTGCATGGAAACTGTTAGAGTTATAGGAGACTGGCAGTCAGGGAAAAGCCGTGGCCTACCCAGTGGGGACCGGAGTCAGAATTGGGGGAGGGCCTGGGAACCAACAGGAAATTGGATCTGGCCAGCAGGAGGGTTAAGGACATGCAGGAAGAATCCAGCAGACAGACAGACGTGGATGTGCCCTTCACCCATGTTGGAGTGTGAAGAACATAAAAAAATGGATATTAGAGAGAAATAGGTTTTGAATGTTTGAACTGGCATAGGAGAGCTGAGATTTTGCAGAATTGATAAGTTCCGTAAGAAGAGGAATTTGTCATTCATATAAATAGCTGTCAGCTCCACTAGAGAGACCTTCTCTCTGTTTTTGATGTAGTTAGTTATTAGTAAAATAAGTAGTACATGTCAAAACATTGTTTATATATAATATAACTGTCAGTAGTAGCTGAAACTTTCGAGCGGAAAGGGGAAATGAATTGCTCGTTGCAAGACATAGTTGATATTTGATATGGTAAATTTGTAGTATTTGTTAATTATTATAAGTAGAATTCTCTAATTGTAAGTTTGTGGTTGTTTCTTGTTCTAGGACCGTCAGCAAACGAACCAGAATATAACGGCATATCCGACCAACTTGTACCGAAATATTGCTACAGATAATCCTGGTATATTGAGGATGCATTCTAAACTTGTTCCTAGTGTACCACCGAGCTCATCATTAGGGGCCATGGTAAGAGAAAAGGTTCTGAAATGAATGCGATGGTTGTTCTCATACTTATGCGTGGAGGTTAACCTTCTCATTACATATTTCTTGTTTTGAAACAGAAACAGTGATGTGATATACAGGTATACATGAGTCACATAATTCTTTTGTACATTTCTCTAGGCATTATGTAAAATCTGTTATGTCATTTTGCAGTATTTCTTCATGCCTGTTCAAAGAGTCAGGTACACTTTATGCAACAAAACTTAAAATTTTCTGAGTTCAACGTCAGAAGTGATATAGTCAGCATGATAATTCCAGTCATTCGTAGTTTCCTTGTATTGTCCTTATGTGGTTTTTGTCTACCTTCCATTTTATATTTTATTTAGTGTTCTGTCTGATGACAGGTCCATATGAACAGGATCCTTCCATCCTTTTCTCGGACTGGGACCTGTTCATATACGTTCTTGGCAGATGATCCAGAAGTGGTTTGCCATTGCCTTCTTCTGTGTGTGAATGGAGTAATTGTTGGGATGCCACGGAGGAAAACTCCGTGTTGCCTAGACCACGGCCTTGCCCAACACAAGTTATAAATTCGGGCACCGCCGGGAATCGAACCTGAGACCCCAGGATTACAAGGCCAGCGTTCTAACCGCTAGACCACCGTGGCTTATACCTTTCATTATTTGAAATTATTTATGCCAGATATTTATTAAGTAAGCCATGTTTTGTGGTTCCCTGTCACCACGGCGTGACACGTCCTCGGGTAGCGGATGGAGGAACAGCCTCCAGTTATGGAGGTTAGCTGCGAATATATTGAATAAGCAGTCGCAGGCAGCCGATGAGGGGTGGTCCTCCAGCTTGGGGGTTGGGTGTGAAGCTAACAAGCAATCTTTCACCGTAAAAAACTCACACACACTCTTTGGCACAACCTTGGCAATTGAAAAACGATATGAGATTTGGAACGTTGAATGTTAGAAGTCTGTATAGGGCTAGGGCACTGAAATCAGTGAGTAGAGAATTGGAGAATTATAAGTTAGACTTAGTGGAAAATTTCACTTTTTCCTAGGTGTGGTTTTTCTTTTCTTTTCTTTTCTTTCTCTCTCCCCCTTCATAGCAGAATTAGGGCCACAATTAAGAGAGTTGAATTTGTTAGCCGCAGGTTGTCTTACGTAATTTTGGAAGGACGTTGGTGCAGCATTATTGTCTTTAATGTTCATGCCCCAACTGAGGACAAAAGTGATGATATGAAGGATAGCTAATAATTTATTATAATTTATTATAATTATATATTGTATTTGCTAAATCATTCATCGCATTGACAAAAGCTTTTCAGTCTGCACTGAGCAGGTTAAATCACCATATAATTTATATATATATTTGGATACAAGCATTGCTCTTTGCAAATGTGTCATGCATGCAGCGTTCTAGTGATGGATATTCAGTAAGAGGATTCAACTCTGCCTTTCAGATTTCTGTGACAGTGTCTCTCAGAACAATTTTTTTTACATCTTCCTTGCCATTTGTGTGATTATTTGGAGTAATGTATCTTCTTCTCTGGCTCTCCTGTCTGTGTTTGGTCCATGGCCTCCTCAATTCTCCTCTTCCATTCGGTCCACTGTTAGGTCCGTCTGTCCGAGGCTTCGATCGAGGTTTCGAAACATCTTCCTTTTTACGGTGCGAGGTTGTTAGCCTTGCGACAAACCCCCAACTTGGAGGATCAGGGTACCTGACTTAGTCTGACCTCTCCCCCTCGACCAATCTGGCTAGGGAGGCCCTACCAGTAGCTCTTAGGATCACTGAGGTACTCAAGCCCCACCACCGTGACAAGGTGCAGGTACCATTAAGTGGGGTGGAGTAATGTATGCCTTTCTCTTATTGTTACTTGATTTCTGTTTCTGGATTATAGTAATTGTGCCTTGACAGTGAAGCTGGCTTCATTTTTGACGGTGTATCATTATTTCCACAGTTACCAAACTTGGGTGGTAAACAGACAGGAAGAAATGAAGCTACGAGTCGTCCACCAATGCTTTTGCAATTGTTAAGACCATCCACCAGTGTGATGCAGCCCCCATTTGCTTCCAACACCAAAGGTCAGTGTCATGTAGCAGTTGTGTGTGTCAGTGTGATGTTATTTGGGTTTGCATAATGAAGGTACGTTTGGTGTTGATGTGGGATGGAGCCAGTTTTAGGACCTCCAGAATTTTAATTGTATTATTTCTTCTGTATGGTTATTAGTCTGTCTTTAGGACAGTGGTAAATTCCTCTGAAGCACTGATAAACACCTGCAGTACTACATGTTGTTATACCCAGAAGACCGCACTCCAAATATTTGGTTCATAGTTTTACAATATATGCTAATTGATGTTTGCTTGTACAGTGAGTCATTTGAAAGAATTCTTGGAGCATCAGAACGCACAACAACCAGCAGGCAGCAGTACGACTATAACTGACGATATGATCGAGACAATTGATTGAGTCAGGTATGAATCTGCATTTTGTGTCAGAAATATATTTACTGTGCATCCCTGCACGAGTCATATGCCCCAATTTTTCATAGAACTTTTAAGAACAAAGATTTGTTGACTGGAAATGTTACGATAGACGAAACAGTAATATGCGAAAGGAATGTGGCTTGTTCCATTTTAGGAATCAACACAGTTGCTGATAAAACTGCAATAGCAATGGCACTTGATACATTGAGGATAACATCAAAGCTCATCTGGGATTGTGTGTCCTGTCTGGGTGGAAAAAGATTGCAGTCCAATTGGGTCCCTGTTTCCTGTGGGAATCTGGGTATTAAGGATGCAGGTCGGGAGGGATCGAGTAGTCCATTCCTTGGTCCAGAACTATCAATTTCAATCTCACTGTGTGTTGGTAGGTGAGGCAGTCAGAGCCCTTCATTAGAACGCGTTCACTTAAACTCTCTAGGGATCCATAGGATTTGAGACTTTCGCAGCAAGTACAATCAATAAAATCTTCTCGGCCAATCAGCCGCGTTAACTGGTTACCGTAGTAAACCGACGTTCTTGGAACAAACTCTGTCCCCGTTTGTCTCTCCAGATTTGTGACAGTACTAATACTAGCGTTTCTTGCCGTTCGGATGATTTGCGTATTTACGCGTGGTAACTCGGTCAGTATAGTGACTGCCTATAGACTGGATGATCACTCACCCCCATCTAGTGCCGAGGTTAAGAATGTTTAGGAGCTCTATGTCCTCTCCCCCCAAGCGACTTACATGGCGTGTAATGGGACTGCTTCGCTTTTACTTGCATAAGTTACCCCCTTTTCTCAGGAAGTGACTAACTCGAAGAAAGAGACAAGGAATTCATTGAAGTGTACATGTGACAGACGTCGGTTGGATGATGACCTGAATCATCATAAATAAGATCAAACTTATTTTTCTCAGTATTCATGAAAATCCAACTCTTCCCATTCAAACATACATTTGAGTCAAAATGAAGATGCTGAAAAGAAATTAGCAAATGTTAAGAATTACATGTGTGTGTCAAGTGTCCCTGTTATTTTCTGTTCATAACTCAGATTGCATCTCGTTCCTGCAGTAAGTATGAGGGAGGGTTGGATGGACCAAGAAAATCTTTCCTCAGTTGAAGAAATGGGAGAAGCCTTCAGTTGGCAACTGCTCATTGTGTTTGTGGTTAATACCGCAAAGAGGCGAAGTTCATTATTACCTGGAGCTCAGTCTGTAGTTTGGATGGATTCTGGTGTTGTCAGATGTTTACACTGTCAGTGCCGTAATTAAAGAATAATGGACAAATTGGCAGGTGGTGACACGGAGGTGAAGAGTAGTGGCGTTTAATACTCATCTTCTTTTTTTTTACTGTGTTCTTGGTTTTGGCATCTATAAACCAGGGGTTTTCAACCTTTTTCACTGTGCGTCTCGCTGACATGCAGTAGACCATTGAGGTCAATGTTATTGTCAGATCTCTTTGGAACCATGAGTTTGCCTACTGTTGTGCGCTAAAAATGTACAAAATGCAGTCGTTTTAACTTCATAACGCAAGGCATCCTCATGACCCAGAATCAGATCACAGTGTCTTGGTTATGTCTGCCACGTCAGTATAAATAAAGACAGGGAAGTTTAGTCAAAAGAAAATGAAACCAATTATTTTTCTAGAGCTGGAGTGGTATGCCTGTCGTAACGCAATAGCATAATGAAAACCAAAATCTGATGCGTAAAATAACATTTATAGGATGTGTGTATATACTGCAAATAAAGTAGTCCATGAATTAATGTTATAGGGTATTTTACTCTTAATAAGGATAAGTTAAATAACAGCGAACATTTTGTCGCTCGTAACATGAAATTTGAAATGCTGTTGTTAAATGTGTCTACCCACCTTGAATATAAAATGTACTCTGGCTATAAAATTTCTAAAATATTACACTGCTATTGCAAATAAATATATTTTTGAGTTGCAGTAGTACACCTGAATCTCTGATATGACAAATAAAATTATCAATGTCCACAGACTTCCACAAATAGGCACGTGATTCGTATGTATTTATCGTCATCGTCAACAGCAGCACGAAGTGGCTAATATATAAAATGTACATAAGCAGTGTTTCTGTTAGAAATAACTGCGATATTTGAATCAAATAATTTTTAAGAGATTATTTATAATATTATATCTTCATGTAAATGGTCGTCCAATTTGGTTAAAATTTGCATTTGGTAAGAACTGTAAAGCGTTTTAATTTGGAGTAATGTCACGTGCTCACAGAGGAAGGACGTGGCGTGCAGACATTTCTAAAATATGTTGAGAGTAATTTTGTTCCTGGAATATGTGTACGTCGTTTTAAGTATATTAACTTTTGCTGGCAGTAGGTTTAAATCCTGGTCTTAAGTTGGGCTTATAAGTTGTCTTGTACCAGATCTGCAATTTTTTTTTCTTTCTACGCAGGTCTCTGAATGAACCTGTAGTGTGCCCATTAACTTGATCATAAAATTCTCAATTTGGGAACAGAGTTTTAACTTTTTAACTCAAGATACTCGTCTCACAATGCTATGAAATTTAATGACTGTATTTTGTTAGGTGTCATGTTCATAGTGGATGTACATTGGTAAAGCAGAATAGAATACTGAAAGCGCAAGAGAATTTGAAATAAATTTACTGTTTTTCCCTTTCCATTGTCTTCATTATCAAATTGAAACCTGTGTATGTTGCTTATGCAAGCTCTTAGATAACAACAGAAGATTTGTTATCCTCCATATGTTTTAGGTAAAGAAAGTGTATTTTAAGAAAACTGTAATTAGCTGGGATAGCCGCGTCAGTATAGTGAATAACTACGGGCTGAGGCGACCGGGGTTCGACCCCGCGCGGGGGCAGAGGATTTTTCCTCTAGCCTCTGCGTCCAGACCAGCTCTGGGGCCCACCCAGCCTCCTGTCCAATGGGTACCGGGGTCCTTTCCCGGGGGCGTGACGCTGACCGCTCACCCCCATCTAGTGCCGAGGTTAAGAATTAGTAGGAGCTATACTTCTCTCCCCGCAAGCGCCTACATGGCGTGTAGTGGGACAGCTTTACATTTACTTTTTATGTAGTGTGTCATTTGCAGAACTATAAATAATAATACATAGACAGATGGTATTCCAGTGGGATCTGATGTCTGCCCTTCGCACTCTATCCTTTTCATGTTCATGTCAGTGGGAACAAAATCAGTTTTGTCAAGCTGAAGTTTCTTCAGTAATGCAGGCAGTGAAAAATGAAACAGTAAGTTTTTTGTTTCCTTGTGATAGGCCTCCACCAGTTTCCTCAGTTCCACGACTCTTACTCGTGTGTTCAGTGCCTGAAAGCAACGCGTAAGAGAGCTGTTCACGTCAGTGTAATCCGTTAGCTCCCATCTTCTCCAAAGCTAACACTCCAAATTTATTAACATCTCATAATCTGTTAATGCATTTTAACAGATAATTGAGATGTTTGTTGTAAATTATCAATATGTTGTATATTTAATTAAGTAATATTAGAATAAAGAATGTTCTTGTAAAGGTAGCTGAAAAGTTAAAAACTGTATTGTAAAGTATGATAAGACTTGAAAAAAAAAATATTATTATTCCAGTACAAATTTGAGGACTGGATGTTCACTTCATACATGTATTCCTGTTATATTTTGTACTGATTAGTTGTATTCGTATGCGTTTTGTGTACTGTTCTTGCAGAACGACGCTAGGTAAAGATTTGCCATCCGGTCCTTACATGTCCAGTCGATGTATGTTAATAGCTGTATAAGTGGATATTTCTGTTAGCGCGTCGGACGGCTGTGTCTGTCCTCCTGCTTTAAATTAAGCTGCCTTAAATTAAATCAGTTAAACAGGATTATTTAATTTATTTTGTTAATCATTAGTCCATTTATTCTTCTGTCTTATTAAAATTATTGTTTTGTGCGTAGAAATTTTGAGTCTTGGGTTCTGATTCCTTTCCTTTCCTTGTGCGTCTGTGTAGATTGTCGATCCGAATTAATGTTTTTCTTTTGTTTGCCTGCTATATATGTGTGATTATGTTTTCAGTAAGAGATACGAATTAAAGTACGGCGAAATGAGTTAGACAGAAATTGTGCTGTTATCAAAAAACTGTTTCTCTGTACTATACATTCACATTTAGAAGAGTTAGTATTAAATTAAACCCCCTTTCATTGATAAAACTTCTATAAAAATTTGTACAAAGAGAAAAAAATATTTGATATAATTGCTAGTTCCATTATGTATCATGTTTGTCATGAGAATATTGATCTCAAGTGTGTCATATGTAGCCATCGTGGACTTAGGATGTTTTTGAGGTTATCAAAACATCATAACAATGCTGCGTGACCTAACAGCAGAGCACAGACCATTTCATTGGAGTTTAATTTGGGGGTGGGGGCTTCCCTCTTCGGCCAGCAGTAACATCTTCATTTGTAGCAGGATTAATAATAAGATTGTCAGACCACTGCATTCGTCATTACTTTGTTGTCGCCAATGTACTTTTATAATACATTTCTGTAGTATTTTGTTATTCTAATAAATGAAAAGTATTTCTCTCCATTTTAATTATTATTCGCCATGCAGGTTAAAGTACACACTGCTAAGAATTTACATTTTGTGTATTTTGGCTATGAAATGTGGTATCTCATATTCAGTGCTCGGAAGTATATTTGAAAAACTTATATGCATTGCCAGATTTTCCCAGTCTGCCTCATTTCACTTCCCTAACAGCCAGTGGTGTTTCCGATTAATCTTGATCGTGCTGTTGTAGGTTGTGTTGCCATGTTACCTTTTAGGTTAGTTACCAATGTTCCGGTGGAAAATAGGGCACCGCAACCCAGAAGACTGCAATTGATATACCGATATTTTCACTGAATATCAAATAGCATTGAAAGGAATATAAAATAATATGGGTCAAGAATTTAAAAAGAATGAAAAATGCTTATAACACAAGAATATTTTATGGATATCTGCGCTAAGGAATGTGACAACTCGGATGTACATCATGTGATGAAGTTACTAGTTTTAACACCCTTCATAGTTAGATGTTAAACATCATGGTCTGTGATGATGATAAATAATTAATGAAGACATTTATGTCATAAATTCAATATTCCTGGTTGTGCCATTGTGTTTCCTTTAACCTTATTGTGCTATTCGCCCGAATCCAAACAAGAATCCATTGCCGTAGAGTGTGACATTTGACCTCGGTCCACGTCAAGAAATCTTTCGTTGTGTCAAGTGACTTCATTCTCGGAGCTATGAAAACACACCTTTGTGGTCTGCATAGTGCTTCCACCTAGTTCAAAGCTTTTTAAGTTATATGAAAATATTACGTTACGTTTATAAAATGAAATTTTTTCATATTTTTACCTTAAAATAGCATTATCTCAGGAAAGTTGTGAGAAAATAATGCAGTGTTGAAGAGTTAATGCTTGAAGCTGTGTGTTTAATTATTCGTGGTTTGTGTACTTGAGAACGTGACATGCAAATACTTCGTGTTTCAGTGTTATTCATGTTATAGAGCAGCTTCCATGTTTATATCAGGAAACGAGCGAAGGCAAAGCCAATATTTTGCAGTCGTTTTAATTCATCCTTTACTGCAGAGTTTGTATCTGTAATTCTGATAACTTATCAAGTGTTTATACGTGTAGAATTATGTTTTATCATTAACAGATATAAACAAGTAATATCTGTGACTCGTGATAATTTAAGGAAAGTCATATCTGAATGAATAGGATCAGTATGGACATTCATGCTGATTATCATACATCTTTATATGTTATATAACCTCAAAACAGTGTCATTAAATACCAATAATCAAGCAGTCCACGTCACTGTTTGAAATGTTTGCTGTCCATTTTCAGTGTGTCATTACTTTTATAATGATAGGGCTGTAAATGAGTTCCACATTATTGACTATTTATTTACTGGATATTGGACGACCTAATGTTGTTCAATCAACATGTGCTTGTTTTATAATTAAACTCCTTTACAGTATTTTATCAACTGCTAAGATTATGTGGCATACATACAGAACAAATTCTGGAATAGCACCTTAAATTAAGCCACGACTGCTTCGTTAAACTTCCTTTCCAATTCATTGTTCACTATCGATGCTCACCGTGGTTCGAATCCCGTTCGAAGACGAAATTTTTAAAATAAGCCACGGCCGTTTCCGTACGCTTTATTTCATCTTGACGACTTATGCAGTTGAAAGATCATTGTTAATTAGCTCAAAGATAAAATAAAATAAAACTGATTGCATGTCGACCCCTTCCTTTGTTCTGCAAGTCAAATTAGGCGACCCTTGTCACGTGATGTAAATTTGCACTCTGAATATTTATACTGTGGGCCTGCAGTGGATTTGGTATAGTGCTTGTTTGTACAGGAAAATACTTTAATATTTGTTGGCTGTTTAGTCAACAGTTGAATGTGTGTTAATTTGCCGAGATAAGTCTTGCAGTATTTCAAAGTTGGAAGGTCGTGAAGTCATTTGTCGATAAACAGGGCCGGTCTCTTGGGATCACAGATTCACAATCGCCATTTACGTTACATTTATTTATATTGCATCAGTTTTCTGGCCTCTTGGATGATCAAACAGGAAACGTAGTCATTGGTGAGGGAAATAAAGAATAAGTGAAAACTCAAATGATGTTATGTAAGGTTTTGGATTGGATTCTTGTGGCTTAGTATAGGGTTCAGTGGCGGGATTGTTGCGAAACAAGCAATTTTTGTAAGAATAACACAAACAAATGCCTTCCCTATCTACCAGGAGACAGATAGATTAACAACACTTGTGTTAATTTATTAATAGCAGCATTAATTTAGTCTAGAATTACGTAAAATTATTAATTATGGAACAGATTTGCAAATGTTGTTTCTGAATGTTCAACTAGAGAATATATTAACCCGTACTGTCGAAGTAAGTTCGTGACACGTCTTGAAATAAACGTTATTCGGTATAAAATTGTGTTATTGCTCCGGTCTGTATTTATTTCAATTAGGTGTATTATTATTTCATTTCTCATTTGTGATTAAAAAATGATCCTCTATCTACAGTACTTAGTATTAACAATTACGTGAAAATGTGAGTGAAGTCATTCCAGAAACGTAGAAGAGTAAAAATAATTAGGAGCTATCTGAAATCATTGTTTGTGCTAGAAAAGCCTGTTGTTCTGGATAAGCAGACCTTCTGTGAATACCTGAAGAGAGTTTACAGACATCGAGTTTAAAAATGTAATGTTTACTTATGTGTTTATATTTTCTAACCTTAATCTAACGTGAGTATCGACCAGCAAAGTGTACAAAGTGAACCTGATGATGACCTGAATGGTGATTATAATGAAAGTATATATAAGTTTAGGAGCTGATAACAGCAAATGTTGGTTATAAGTTTATCAGTGATTCGGGGATTGTGTTAATATTTTTAGTATTAAGATAAAGGAAAGTGATGGATTGGCAGTTCAGTACAAATGATTGTAACTTCACCGTTATCCTCGTACAACTGACAATTGAATAACGCCATTGATCACGTAAAAAAAACAATTGACAGTTAAATAACGTTACTGCCATCTGGTGGCGGATTTCAGCATTGTAAGGCAGCGTACACACCCAAGCAACCAGCAACAGTCACGATCTTCCTGCGGATGGAAGATATTTGGCATATGCAATAATAATGTTTTGAGTTTATCATGTAAACGATTTGAACAGTCACCAGTTGTGAACTGTTTCGAAACTTTTGGGCAGCTGCTGGACAGTTCATACTCGATTCCAGCCTATGCAGTAACAGCCTGGACGTTGTTACTGCATAGAAGACACGTGACAGGGCCACTGCCACAAGAACAGCGGAGCGCAGGCGCATGAAGACAGGTCGAATCGCTGTGCTGTTGACTTGGAGCCGCGTGGTAACGGAACGAAGTCCTTTCGTGACCTTGAAACATACGATTTCGTGGCGGCTACCATAAGCTTGGAGAAGTGACTTTGAAGTCAATTTTGGAGAACAATTTCTCTTCTCGGTGGAATCGTTTCAAGCATCAGCGTATGCCCATCTTGGTCTGATATTGATATCATGACACGGGTCTAGGGTCCAGTTTGTGTTAAAGGAGTGCATCATATCATTTGCATAGGACTGTAACCTAGGCAACGGATCGTTAAGAGGCCCAGTTCCACAGAGATACAGTCTGATCCCCATATAAATAAAATACTCTTATATAATTCAGTAGGTCCTGTGTACGTATCGAGGGGGAATGTTACACAACGCGAATGCAACTCATCGGTGTTATGTAAAAAGTAAAGTTTGTCCCACTATACGCCATGTAGGCGTTTGGGGTGAGAGGAAGTATAGCTCCTCTCTTCCTTGACCTCGGCACTATGTAGGGGTGAGTGGTCAGCATAAATGTGCAATGTCATCTCTCAGAGGGAAACGCTGCTTTGGAGCGATTATAATGACGCTCTGATAGCATTGACCCGTAAATTGATAAAAGTAATGAGAACGGGACTGGAGCAAAGGTTTTTGGGCGTCCAAGGCGAACGTCCGGCCTTCCACACCTTCCCCCAAATTAAGTTCTAAAAATTAATTGTGTGAAGATTTTGACGTACATTGGGAATATGCGATAGATTTTTTCTCAGTTTTTCGAAAGTGCAGTTTTTTCTTAAAATTTAATTATTCTTCTTTATTAATTCAGTTTTTCCTGTCCTCCCCCCCCCGCCGCCGCAATTGTACCCCTCTAGGAATCAGCCTAATTTGCTTAGTGATTAAACCAGTAGTGAGCGAAAAGAAAATATTTTTGAAATGCTCGTAATTATACGATCTAAAAATGTTATTGTCCCTTCGCATTTATAATACTAAATATTAAGAATTATAAAACAATAATTTTAAATATATGTGAAACGTGTTTCTTTTACTTTAAAAATATGCCATAAATTGTATTTGAAAACAAAGTGTCGAGGAAAACATTTTTTATTTGGCGACATCTAGGAAGTGTCTCTAAAACGCCAACTAGGAAGACCTAGAATGAGTTGGTTCAATTTATGCCCGCATATATCTCATTTTACACATTGAAACAATCGATATCCATAAATTATTTTTGAATAATAGTTGAATCTTTTACTGCATTTTTAGATTTGCAATCTGCTGAGTAGCCGTAGTTCAAAATAATTCGTCTAGAGGCGTTCAGTTCGCATTTCTAGGATCGAGGACCACACGGGTCGTGTCACTTCTTTTGTTTTTGTTTCAACATCAACCTAACCTAACTTAGCTCCTATTCATCTCTGCCCCACGTACAATGTGCTCCAGCGGTTACCCACTGAATCGTATGTCAAATATAAAACATAATTCAAAGTCGTGTCCGGTCCTCACATTTAATCTCAGAAACTACGTGACGTAATTTAATTTCATATCGAAAACTTGGTGACCTAATTAAAAATGCTGTCAGTTCCCAGCTCCCGGATGGAACTGCGCGACTCGCCACAAGATCTGCTACTGTTTCTTCGAATAAATCACTTTCCAGGTAAGAAACATATTCAGTCAAATTTTTATTTTTTCCAGTAATGTCTGCAGTTGATTTGTGCGTCTCTGAAGATTTTCCTTACCGTTCATACTCCATGCCAACAAACACTTACAATTAACACGCGAAATTCGAGCAGTAGCACACGTGGTGATGTCATTACGTAAATTAAAACACCAACGCTGTTGACGGGAATTAGTCTTCCTGTTTTTCCTCAGTTTCTCCACACGATAGTTGGGACAGTACCTTAAACTAGGCCACGACCGTCTCCTCCCGAATCCCTTTCAATTAATCATTCGCAACAAGTCCTATTATTCGAATCTATACAACCACTGTAGTTGTAACATCGTCATTAAATAAGTCAAGAATCGATTAGCAAATACGAGCTGTTCAGTCTGTCCAAGTGTCAGGAGAAAAAAAAATAAATTTACCCCCGCGAAGGAGCCCCCGAAGCTAGGAGCGTGTGCCACATTGTAAAAATGTTGCAACCTGTGACGTCATTATGAGTGCCGTGTGAAGAAGAATCAGCGCATATGCCACTCTAGCGCTCAACATCTGCGCGCAATATATATAATACGCACGGTTCATGTACGCCGTTTTACACAATGCCAGTGTGAGCGCGGGCGAGAAGGCTGAAGGTCACTGGACCACAGCGACTCTACTGCGCAGACGCGTCCATCCAGCGGTTCGCTGTAAGTACAGAGCACGCCCTACTGCAAGCGTTCGTCATTTTTTTTTCAGGCGCTCATGGATTAAGTTGATATAAAAGTGTCGAGTGCTTTGGTGTAAGGAGCAAATATGTTTTTGTGTAATGTCTCATAAAATTTAACAAGAATTTGTCTTTATTTTAGAGCGTGGTGGCCAGTTGCATGTGAGACGTTTTTAAAGCCATTGTAAACGTAATCGAAACGCAAAATTACTGATGTTTTTAGACAGACAGAATTTTGAAGGGCAAACAATTAACTGCTAGACCGAGAAGGAGATGTCAGAGTAACGCGAATTTGTGTTAGCATCCACAATTCAGGGCAGTGATGTCGAATTTGGGTCAGACAAATTGCATCTCGGTATGTGACTGTAGATTTGTTGAGAGTGGTTTGTGCTGGGTCCATCAACTGCTTACTATTCTAGTAATGGTATTTTCTTTTCATCTATTTATGCTTCACGTGTGTGTAGTTGGTAGCCTGTGGACTTCGATCTTGGTTGTGGTGTTTACGTACGAAGCAGTGCAACCCTGACCGATACGTCCCGGTGACTCAACGGTTTTCCCTCTATTGTTAAAGTTGCTTATACAACAAGGCGCAGCGTTTAAAGATATCGTTCTAGAAATTTTTCGCTCCGATAAATATTTATCGATTTGCGCTCGTGTTACGGTCGAAATATGCACAGAAATGTGTGCATGTTCCACGCGAAGTGATCGTCATTTCGGATTTTCTTTTAAATTTTAGTCCAACTGCACAGCCCAAAATTTCCCCGACTTTGTGGTACACGCGGACGGACACGGCGAAGCTTACAGGTACAACTTCTAAAAACATTAGATTGTCAACACACTAAAAATAGGGATGATTGTCCCTGGATGATTAATTAAAATGGGATATGTTTTCTCACAAATGTTGTAATAAATAATTAATGAAAAAGATGAGGTTATGTGTCAACTATTATTAAATTACGAAGGCAATACAACCCGGGATCTCCAGAACAGTAAACAGGCGTACCAACCAATCGACCTCAACATGCGTTACTATAAAATCTCTTAACTTGAGCGGCGTTCTTTACTTATAAATAACGTTCCTGACTTGTAGTTCCGTTTCGAATTTGAACTAGGTCATGGGTCACTACAGCTGAGGTGTTTAGTAGTCTTCATGCCAGTAAATAGACCACGACCACTTCTTTCGAAAACCTCACCTCTCTACCATGACAATTTCTCCATATTTTGGTCGAATTCTACTTTAATCACACATTATGTAGCATCAGATTTGGGGGTGATTATGGACGGTGGCAAATATAAGGAATTATTTTAAAGTACTTGGATGTGCTGAGGAAAAGCCTTCTGTCCGAGACTCGAACCCACAGCCTTCAGAGTAGTTCTGAACGCTATGTAAAGCAGATAAATTGCTGTGTTCATAAACCTCAAGTGTCTGTCCATATTCCTAGATGTGGTTCTTCGAAATGCGTTATTCTACGACGTTGATTTTACAGTCAGGGTGGGATAAGACTCTCTCTCTGTGCGATTGGTTCGCTGTCCACTCCCCAGAGAATGTCGAGCAGCGGTGGAATGATATTATTGACAGGCGAAAGCCTAGGCACGGCCTCGTGTTATTAAGTACACTTTTGCTCCCGTAAACTATGCGAACGTGGAGTTGGCACTGTGACCTCGAGTCTTCGATTGGACATCGATAACGAGCTTGTGCGATTGTCCTTAATTCGATTCGATTAATAAACATATAATATCGCTGCGATTATATAAGAACTCACGCAGGTCTCGACATGTTGTAACCTGCTCTTGTCAGTCCATAATTTGTCTTCAAACAATGGAAGTGCTTCTAATTATCTTCGTGTTATGTAATTGTATACTTTCTGGGAAGATTTTGATTCCTGTTGGAACGCCAAAGACTATTGTGGTTGATGTGCAAAGGATGTCTTTTTCACAAGTGGTCATTGTGAAAAACTACCTCACATCTCGTTCTGATTTAACTTAACCAGAACGAGTTTAGGGACAAGTTTTTTTAGATTCTCCTGTACCAAACAAAGGGACAATATCTCGTCCGGCGACACATGACAGATATCGTTCTTGTCGAGATTCTGTGACAAGCGACGATCGGTTTTGAGATTTCCTCAAGTCACCGAGAAATCTTCCTCTCGAGAGTGGATTATATCATACGGAAGTTTACGTAAGACTACGAAGATGTCAAACCTCCGTCTATACCGTGTATACATGTCAGTCACGAACTCAAGTAGTTGATGGGGAAATACGAAATCTGTCCTGCAGTTGATTTACACAATTCTTTCGAAGGACCAAAGGCACTTTAGATAAAGTTCTGGGCATCGATGAAGCATGGTTCCACCCAAGTGGATACGTTATTAACCAAAATAGTAGAAAATGGATTGTTTGGCATTCGAATACCTTCCGTGAAAGACCATTATACTTCTTAAAAAGTCGGAGTATGGCATGCTGTCTCTCGGTGGAGGATAATTGGCCAAATTTTCTTCTTTGAAACGATAACAGCTGAACGTTTCTTAAAAGTCGGAGTATGGCGTGCTGTCTCTCGGCGGAGGATAATTGGCCAAATTTCCTTCTTTGAAACGATAACAGCTGAACGTTACCAGGGGGTCTGGTAAAATTCTAAGAAATTTGAATATCCTTTGATAGGTTTCGACAGGATTTAACAAGTCTCTACAGGTCTAAACAGGTTTTAATTTGTTCCTGTAAACAATTTATGACATACATCGTCAGTTTCGTATTCTTGGATTTTGATGGACAAGGATGCTGGTTTCAGCAAGATGGGAACTATTTTGTGTGACTTCCTTGTGGTCCCTTCGATCACCGGATCTATCACCGGAGGATTTTCATTTTTAGTGTTCTTTTTAAAGATAACGTGTTCAAAAATAATCCGCACACATTAGAATAATTTAAACAAGTTACTGAGCTGTGTTTTTCAAGCGTCTCTGCTGAAAATCTTTGTAGGTTTGCACCAGACAAGAGAAAAGGAGTGAATGCATTCAAAGATGAGTTTCTGATTTCAGTGTAATTTATATTTGACCAAGAAACGAAAAATGCGTGTCAGGAATGTGTTCCCGCGACGTTTCTATGATACTGTGTGACATAACCCTACTTTTCTGACATGTCAGGATGGTGTCAAATACCAATGGGCTCCACAGACTGCCTCGACGCGTCGGCGAAGAATAAAATTACTGATTCTGCCGAGAATCGAACCCCAGAGTTGCAGCCAGTGACTGTGTTGCATCCCCTCCGAGGATGGAAAAATGATAACTGTGTTTGAAGTCCCCAGTGACCTTTTCATCTCTGCACTTTTAACAATAATTTTTAAACACATCTGTGCCTGATTTTCTAAATAAAAAAATAGTTCTATAACTTTCCGTGGGTTATCTGTCCGAGAGCAACATTTTTCGTTTTCAATTTTTTCTACGAATGTCTCACGCAATGCGTAATATTATACTCGTATTATGAATCAACCATTTTCACACACATTGAATCCTTTGAAAGAAGATCTTACAGACAATATATCTATCTGAAAATCCAGTTCCTTCCCTAAAGATATCACAACGCATGTTCGTGGTACATATGATATTATTACAAAGAATTATCCACAGACGTTTCAGCGTTGAGATTTACGTTCACCGCGTGGCAATGCATGCCATGATATTTTCTAATTTCCCCTGCCCATTCATCAGTGTTCTGTGAAAATCCCCGCTCCGTTGTGCAACAAGTCTCGGCCACATCTCAATGGAACTTCACCTCTGGCCCCAGCTGGTGATAGACGCTCGTACTACGTAGTTTGGCTTGATTTCAAATGTTGGTATTCGTGGTGGTTATGCATCTGTGTATGATTTCGCTTATCTATCTCAGTTACGAAACTTCCCTTAATTATTTTTGGTTATCATTTATTTTTATTGTAGTATAGATGAATATCCTTTAACTACGTCGTCATGACGCTATTAATTTTTTAACTGAATTTCATTATCTGTGTTCTTAAACTAATAACGCGAGCAAAGAACAATGATTTATGCAGAACGCTTTTTAGGTTAATGTACTGTATGACGTCGAATGATAAAATTGCTTCTGAGTAGTCAATTTGAAACGATGAGGAAGGAAGTGGCTGTGGTTTTTTTATTGTTCCCAGAATATGAGTAGTGGAACAGAGTAAGCCACGAAGGCCAGCATAACCGATCCCATGGCATAAATTAGAAGCCGTAACTATCAGATGTAACTAATGAGTGCCAACCGTAATGTTTTGTACTTAACCTCAAACATGGGCTCCTACAGACAACACCATCCTCATCACGTGATAAACATGGCGCACGTATTATTAATGGTTCCACTGTCGGAGAAAAGTCTCATTGTTACAACTGTTCTTAAACCGGTCTTGATTAAGTTAATATCAGCGAACATTCGGTGTGTAGGAAACGCTAAGCATTGTGATGAATTATAGGACAACAATACAAAATTTACCGCTGCAGCATGGAACGTTCTAGACGTTTAATATTGTCCATCAATCTTACTGGTGCTATGTTCAGACTGGTAGGACCGTAGTATTCATCGATAGGTCGATCGATTGATCGATCGATGTTAATTTTCCTTTTTCTCGTATTTTGGCACGGGAAATAAATGTCTGAAGGTGCTATGCATACCGTTCGTTCATTGTCTTCAGTTCCTTCTGGCAGATAACACGGCTATGCGCTAATCCACGGATAGTTATCACTCTCGTAGTGCTAATCACTTAAGTTATCCAGTAGCATGACACCATAAACATTTGGAAAATATCTCAAGATGACTAAGCAACTAACACGATAAAAATGTCAATTTCTGTTATCGCGCTGATAATAATGATTATTAAATTGTTACATTGACGAAAATGTGAATTCGATTAAACAAACCGGAAGGAGCTGATAACAGCTGACAGTTTCTGAGGATTATTGTCAATATATCATATTACTGATTAGTAACAGTGAGTAACACATGATATTTTAAGTTATCATCAAATCCTCAGGATACAATGTAAGAAGGAAACGATTTTCGTGACTGTGTTTCATTATTTTTATTCATTTTAAAGCCTAGTGGTAATTATATGTACCGCCTGCTTCAACAACAAAAAAGCTCTGTTTATCAGCTGTCATTGAAAATTACGCTCCCAGCGTCTATGAAAGTCTGTGAACACATGGAGTTTTATTAGATGAAATTTCACAACGTATTAAAATATGTGGTTGACGTAACTCGTTTCGATTTCGTATGTTCATGGCATTTATGTTAATAATTCCAGAAGGAGGTGTTTGTAGGTGCAAAGTCTTTAGCCCAATTTTAAACTTGGAGAATCGCCCTTTCAAGGCCGTTTTGTTCAATAAAGTTGACAAGTTGACATCTTTCCTCACTTCGCAATAAATGTTGACGCTCCGTGACCTCGGAAAGCAACACGAGTAAAGATAAAACGATGTTCATGACCTGAAGGAACCGACCTTCCATGCAAGCTCTCGGTTTCCCCCGGCTTTCACGGTCGAAGGACGACCATAACCACACACGATGCGCAGTGTTGTTAGGGTAGCGAACTTTGTAAGGTAGCGACGAGCAGAAAATGCAGAATATTGGTGCGTAAACCTTCGGAAAGGCGTCCGCTGAATAACCAGTAAGTTTGAACGATAACATTGAGACGGATCTTAAAAGTGATAGGTTATCTTGGTCATGGTGGTGTCACAAATCACATCAATACTGCTCCTTAATCTAGAGGTAAAGGTTTCTTCCTACCAGCAATTTCACCTTACATGATTTCGTCACGAGTTTTTTTAAAAACAGAGATCGCTCTGCACGGACGAGACACCTGCCGGTAAGTTTCGGGAACTACTAGACACATTTGTCCCGCATTCACGGTTTGCATTCTTTTGTTTACAAAGTGACTTTGTTGATCGTTTTGTTCAAGTGTATTGATCTTCTATGTGAAATGTAAATGAGTAATTGCTGCATTTAAAGTTCATTGCCTCTGGGAAAGACGCTTGCTTAACTTTTCAGACAGACAAACAAACGTACTGTGAAAGTAATCTGGTATTTATTCAGCAACAAACACGCCCGGACATGTCTCAGTCTTGCGTGAACGAACAGACACCCACAGTCGTGCCTTCTTGCAACTGTTTCGAAGAACCAACGATCTGTTATTTTCGGCACAAGAAATTAAACCGCATTTGTTGCAGAGCTAATCTTCAAGCCAATAGCATTGTTGTCCCTGATTCCTCACTATCCTAGAACTCTTGTCCAAGCTTTGTGCTATTAATCTTCAAACTGTGTCTGAGGGAATTTGAAAAGTTCCAACTTAACGAAAATGTCACTATAAACACCAAAGTACCAACTTTGCCGATCTGTCTTTACGTGATACGCCGACAAGAGCCGTGTGTTTACTTGTACATCAGTTTGTAAGATTAAATTTTGTTTGATTATTTATAATAAATAATGGATAAATATGAGAAATGTGGCCCTAACACAACAAATACGCGTTCCGTACTGCATGTTTAGAGCATTTTTGTTTTGTGCAAAAGTTTCTTGAGGAGGGGGTTACTGAATACCTCCCGTCCTATTGAGACAAAAACAGAGAAAATTAGGCGTCAAACTTTTCCCAGAAGACAACAATCCTCAAATCCTCAAATTTTCGAGCCAATCGGAGCTCCTAGGTGGACTCAGCAGGCCACAGCCAATCAGCAACCCCTTTTATTAAGTCTGCACCTCTAATACCCCACCGTCTCTAAAAATTAATTTTCTCTAACCCCAACTTCATTGTCAAACCCTTCAGCCATCCATCTTCTTAGCTCGGCAAGGATTTTTATTTTTATGCTCTAATTACGTATTCATGCATGTTTCTATGCATTCATATTAATGCTTAAATATGTTCTTATAACTTGTATTTATTAGAAATGCATGTTTAAATATTTTAAACTATGTTTTTAGGATGAAAAATTTGAACTTCCTGTCGTCTTGGATTGAATTAATCCTTTAGCATGTATTTCCTACATTCCATTAATGACAGTTTCAATTGACGATGGTTTTATTGGAACCGTTTATCGACATTAGCCGAGGGACCACTATATAATAATGCGGTTAGAGATAAATAATTTAGTTGCCTGTGATGGTGTCGCAACCAAGGCCACATGTTTAGTTAGAATTGTGACATGTGATGCACTCTGTAGACCAAGTCTAGAACTTGTACTATGCTGTTGACAACAGGTGTCCCTAATTGTTATGTAATCAGTGCGCTTACTGCTGCCTAAAGCAGGAGGTTGTGCATTCCGAAGTGTGTGTGTTATGTAGCACATGTCCGAATTGTAGGTATCGTGTTTCCTGTTTGTGGAGAGTTTTAATGAAAACACTTCCTAATACAACGGTACAAAGATGCCTACAGACGGCAACCAGTTCCTTATTTCTTTTAATGGGAGGACAGCACAAATGCGTTTTGTGCTGTTGGAGGTAGGTGTACTTCTGTAGTGACGAAATGAAGAGTAGGGTTAAAAGAGGTTTGATGATGAGTGGCGTTATGTGAGATCAAGTTACTTCTTTGACATTTAAATTAGTTTTTATGTTTTATGTTACTAACAAAAGCAAGGTGAGTAGGAGATTATTTGGACCTAAGAGGAATGGACTGACAGTAGGCTGGTGAAAAATGAATAATGAAGACCTCTAGCATTTGCACTTATCAGCAAATAATATGATGAGAACATTGAGGAGAACGGTGTTGGCTGGGCGTGTAGCATGCAAGTGGCAGATGAGAAATTTGTACAAAATGTTGATTGGAAAGCCTGATGAGAAGAGCCCACTCAAAAAACGTAAGCATAGATGGGATGCTGACGTTAACATGAATCTTGGGGAAATAGGAGTGAAGGGTGTATTGGATTCATCTGACTCAGGATTAGAACTATGAACACTTTAATGAGCCTTTGGGGTCTATAACAGGCAGGAAATTTCTTGATTGACAGCATGCATCTCTTAATTTGTAAGAAACAGCCCAGTTCCTTATTTTGCTTTATTCAGTAAGCTGTACAGTTGCTCACAATGATTATTATTGCCAGATACTGATAAAATTTACTGAACATGTTTTCTGATATTGACGAAATATTTTGCACCATACAGATTGACACAATAGACCTATTATAAAACACTGTATGTGGTCCACATTTGGTTCATGGACAGCAGGTTGTGTGTACCTTTGTATTAAACTATCATTATTGAGGTATGTGCAACATCGTGGACACAGTTCCCTTTCTTATCTCAAGGTTGAGGTTAGTTCACGTGAGATACTATGAGATAGTATAGTGATAGAGCACATAAAAAGTTAGATGTCCAAACTGTATTAAAATGTTTTGTGACAAGGAAGTAGAGGGATCAGTTTTTTTTAAACAGAAAATGACTTATTATTAAAGAAGATGTGGCCTATAAGAGAATGATAGATTGTTCTGATGGAGAATGAAGGAATTTTTGTATAAAGCTAGATGTAAATGAGACATTAAAATTAGTAAAATGTAAGTGGGAATGGGGAAGGTTTCTAGTTATGAGAATAAATCTGAGAAGATGATAATGCCATGAGAGATAGTTTTATTGTGCTGTGGTCTGCAATGAATGAATAAATTAATTTAAAGTTATTATCATGTACCCCAATTTGATGCTGTGTTTTCTGGGAGAGCTGAGTCTGTAAGTGACTGATCACATTTCAGTTCCTGGCATTAACAGGATTTTTCTCTTTGGGGTCCACCATTAAACTACCTAATAAGTACAATTTAACCTTATTTTATGTTAGTGTTGGGTCTAGTAAACATATAACTACCAAGAGTTGATGTCTTATGTGTGTGTGTGTAAAATAACTATAAATACATCATAATTTTAAAGTCATTTTTACATTTTTGTTACAGTAGCATTATTAAGTAATGTAGAATCAGTCAAGAATTACATTCCTTGTGTTAGTATCATGCCATGATTGCAGATTGACCAAATTCCTTTTGTATTTGTTTTATGCAAACATTCTTGTGATGCTGACTGGTAGATACTTTATACGGATGCTGATTAAATATTAAATTGCTCTGAGCCTCATTATCATTAAAAACAGTTGTAATTTAGTAGGCAAAGTTACATGTAAAGCAGGACCTGTCTGTTTAAACTTTATCTCTGAAGTAAATTAAAACTTTTGTTCGTGGACTCGGTCACGTTCCCTGCGTATGCAAAACAAATCGGACCTTATACATTTCTTGGAAGGCAGTTGAGGTTTACTTTAATGTTTACAGCAGTAATAAAAAACACACGAGATTAAATTTAAACGAGCTTAAGCTTCCCTTTTGCAGTAAACCTCGTAACATTCTGTAGCCAGGATTTCCTGCTTTCCAGTACTTTTTACGTTTTCATGCAACAGGTGCGGAATCCAGGAAGGAAGCAGATACCCTACCTCTTAACTACAGGCTGTGAATAACATAAAGTATTTACCAGAGGAGATGGCTTATGCATATCTGTGTGTAATATTTATATTTGGAATCATTCAGTGTGGTAAGTACCATGAAATACGCTACCTGAAAATACCGGTATCCTCGACTGTTAAAGGCATGCAGTATTCTCACAGGTCGCTGTACGTTTTGACGTGCAGAAATATAACTCTCCAAAGCCAGAGCGTTGAATTTCCTGTTGCGGCTTTCTGTCGATCCCGTCGTGCCTTCTGATATGAAAGAGAAGGAATTACAAAGCGCGTAAATTTGTTGGTTATAGTGTTCTGGGTTGCGATGTCATGCAATCTTGCAGGTGGTTACCAGCAGTCTCTTCAGCCCTGAAGATGGAGGTAATACATTCTTCCAAAATATCAGTACCCTCTTACAAGACTACTCTCGAAGTAAATGCTAGAGTAGTACCTCAGAATAGGCCGTAGCAAGTCCTTACGTACCCACCATTAACGTCTCATTTGATGTCTGTAACCTCTGCAGATGAAACAGTATCATTAAATGACCTAATTAAGTTAGGGTAAGAAAGTGTGCCATTGTTTAACTTTTATATAACTGCACTTTTACAGCTCCCAGCATAACGGAGCGTCTTCAGTATTAGGTTAAGGTGATTTTACAAGTTTCTTTCTTTTCTTTTTTTTTTCATGTAGGCTCCACTAGCGATGATCCTTCACTTCAGATCTCAGAAGAGGATCTGAGAATAGAAATTGGTGGTGAATGGGATTTAGACATATATATTTCGTAAGTAAGGTTCATACTTTCTAATAGAAATAATTATTGATTTTTATGTAGCAGTGTAATGTTTTGGTACCAAATTTCCATACTTGTTTACAAATACTATTAAAACTGAGGAATTTCTGGATGCAGCATTTCAGTTTGATAGTCGGCAAGGCTACTCGACAGCTGTGCCAAGAGCACAGCCTTTGCTGCGCTGTTCACAATGTGTCTGTTGCTGT